TCTCAGAAGGCCTTCTCCTTCTCACTTCCCCCCTCGCTCGCCGCCGATACACATCCTCCTCCTCCCACATGGTGTTTACCTCGTCCTGGCGTTGGTCCCAGCGGCGTGCGCCGTCGCCCCTCCTTCCCTGCCTCCAGCCCGTGGCTCGTCCGAGCCCATCGACTTGTGCCCGTGGCCGATGTGCCGCCAGCGCCTCTAGCCTAATCCCTAAGTCGGGAATGTTCCTCTACAGAACAGGAGGAAGATTCAAGAACTGAACACGTAGTCTGGCGACGATGTGTCGTGCTCTTTTGACTATTTTGGATTTTATTTCCTCCAGAATTCACCTGTAGGAGGACGTGCCCGACCTCACTCTTGCCTATCCTGTCGACCACAGCAGGCGCGACCACGCGGCCGCCGGTCCTCTGTCATCCCGCCTCACCCGCTTTGCATACACTCCCTGTCGTTGATGCTTCTGGACTCCCAGATCCCAATCTATTCTAGCCGTCTTCCTACTTCAGGTGTCGAGTGGTTCTTCCTCTTCTCTCCTTTCGTGGGGGCGGGCGGTAGCCCGGTCTGCATTCAACGCCTCCTTGCTTATGGCTCTACCTTCTTCTGCCGACCGCTGGGTACCGCGGCCTTCAGGCCCCGACAGATAGTGTCCGACACAGAAAGCATGTCATGCAGAGCATGTCATACGGAGCATGCAATCATCCTCTGGCGAAGCAGAGTGCGCTCAGCTTGTACAGATAGCAGGCGTAAACACGACAACGCATGTTTACATATCGCTTGCATGGCATGCGTAAGAGTCAGTACGCAAACACCTCGTCCACACATGCATTTGTAATTTACAGAGACAACAATACAGGCACATCGTTGTAGCGAGAAGCAACACGATACACACTTCGACCCCGCTTGCGGCAACCGCCCGACGCTCTTGTCAGATGCGACGTTTTCTCTGTTGCCCGCGGTGCTCTGCGGTGGAGCCGCACCGCACGTCACTCCTCGAGACATGGCGACTGCGCACCGCCAGCAGGAGGAGGAGGAGCGGCACGAGGGCGGGAGCATGTGGGCGCCGGAGCACGCTAGTATCAGGGGAGGAGGACCCGCGAGGCGGGCCTGCGCGGCTGAGACGGCTGCTCGCGCAGGTGTGGATGCTCCGGATGAGGAGAGAGGGCTTCGCCCTCACCCCCATGACCTACAACCTGTTCATCCACGGCTGCGCCCAGGCTCGCCCGAGCCCCTGCTCCCGCCGGGGCGTGCCGAGGGAGAGGAGCGACAGCGCGGGGTCGGGCGTGTTTGTTGTTGGTTCACCACCCACCACCCACCAACCCACCCCAACCCAACCCGAAGGCTCAGATTTACCCTCGATTTCTAGTGGGGGGGGGTCCGGGAACATCGAAAAAACACACATGGAGCCCATTCCCCCCCCAACCCGAAATTCGGGTCTTCGGGTTGGGTTGGGGTGGTCTGGTAGGTAGTCATTGGTGTTGTGCGGGCTGGTGGGGTGGGGAGTTCCCGGGAGCTGGTATCACGGCCACATCCGCCGCGTCTCGGTCCAGTTTACCCGTCCGCGACCCCGTGGATGTGGGGCGGATCAGTGCGGATGCTCAGCCCAGCTCGAATCCATGGGATCTCGCCTCGTTACCCAGACCTCCACGGCATGGATATGGATGTTTTCGTCGTGGCTCACGAGTGGTGGGGGCGGGTGTGTAAAGGGGGGGAGGGGCGTCTTCTGTGTGTGGCGAAGGCAGCCCCGCCTCATGATGTTACGCTCCTTCTTTCTCCCCGTCGCCCATCTGCCTCCTCCCTTCTTGCCTCCTACTGTGGTCAGACGGAAACAGGCTGCTTTTCAAGTGCAACCAGAGATTTGTGCACTCATGCGTATATGCACATTTGTGGAAATATATCCAGGTGCCTGCGGCAAACTGTGCCACCTTGCTTGTGCAACAGCGTACCAGGATTGAGCTTGAACTCAGGAACAGCTTGACTCCGCCGAGCTGTCTGAACTGAGGCGGGTCGCAAGCCCGACCTCGTCCTCGTCCGCGCGGCGGGAGTGAGGTCGAATTCACGTCCTGCGACAGTTCAGCGAACGGTCTCAATGGGGGCGCGTCGCACATTCAGGCTCGTCTTCGTCCACGCGGTGGAAGCGAGGTCGAATTCATGCCCCGCGGCAGTTCAGCGAACGGTCTGATTTGTGGCGCGTCGTTAACTCGAGCTCGCCTTCGTTCGCGCGGCAGGAAGGAGGTTAAGTTCACGCCCCACAGCAGTTCAGCGAGCCTTCTGAATTGGAGCGCTTCGTGAGCTCGACCTCATCTTTCTTCTCCTTTCTCTTCCTTCTTGAATGAGGATTCGATGCTTATCTGGCGCCTCTTGAGGGCTCACCAGGGGCCTCTTAGGGACGTTGAGGGGGTCCTGGGTGATCTGCTAGGGGCCTTGTGGAGGCTTCCCGGGGGCCTCCTCGAGCCGCTCGGGGGAGCCTTGGAAGAATCGGGATGCCTCTCGGGAGCATGTTGGGGGTCTTGGAGGCAATGTTGTACGGAAAGGCTTTCACTGCCAGCTCGATGTTTCTTGCCTTGGGCCGCACCCGGGGCCTTTCTTGGGGGCCTCGTGGGCCGTCTCTGGGCCTCTTGGGTCATCTTTGGACCTCTTCGAAGGTCTTTGAGGCATATCTGGCCGTCGTGGGGGCTCCTGGGCCATTTTGAAGATCTCTTGGGGCCTCCTAGGGCTGGCTTTGATCTGTCTTGGGGACCGGCGGAGGCCGTCTTACGTTTCGGGAGTTTGCAACAAGTCCAGCGCGTTGAATCATAACCCTGATGAGCTCACGTATCCACAAGCTGCTTTCCCTTGTCCGATGGTGTGCGTGTGTGAGTTGACTCTGTCCCACGGTAATCTACTGATCGCGAGGTTGTTTCTGCTCTCTTTCTCCCAACCATCCTGTGGTGTTGGGTCCCCGTTTGGATGACACAGCGCCCCGCGTTCCTGACCTGCTCCTACTGCCCCTGCTTGCCCCTCTTCCCTCCTTCCAGCCCTGCCTCCGTAGCCATTTTGGCTCAGGCACAAGGGGCCCAATGCGCGCAGATCCTTCTTTAGGCTCAGGCGCGCCATGGGCCCTGCCTCGCCGCCTCGGCGCGGCGTGCTTGTGGCTATCCGCAGCTCTGGTATCCTTTCTGTGAGACGCGGGTCGGCTAAGGGCGGGGCAAAGGTGTCAAAGTCAGGTTCGATGTCATCCTGCTACATGTCTTTGGCGTTCGTGCATGTCCGTGGGATGCATCTTCCCCGGTTCACGGCGCCTCACAGTGCACAGTGGTGGTCAATGTTGTCTTTTGTTGCTGGCATGGTGCTTTATGTTTTCGTCCCCGCTCTCCCATCACAGTGCATGTCACGAAGTTCGTCTACTCCTTGTTCGGGAACCCGCGGGGATTTTGGCTGAGCCTGGCCAGCGCAAGGCAGACGTAGTCTGTTTCGTTATTGTGTCAGTTTCTTTGTTTGGCTGAGCCTGGCCAGCGCAAGGCAGGCGCATGTTGGGCTGTCTGGAGTGGTGTGCAATAGTGGCGAAACACATTCCGAGGAGCCTGAGCAGTTTTATTTGTTTGGGATGCTGTGCTATATTGGTGAAACGGCAGTCAGGAACTGGCGCATTTGCCTGCTCTTCGTGCGTGTCGGTATCGTGATCGTGGCGGTCGGGGGCGTGGTGGTTTCCAAAGCAGTGTTTTTCCAACGGCAATAATTTACATGACGAGTAGCCACCACATGTACATGGTGTTGATCGCCCCCTGGCCTGAGCACGCAGTCTATGTGCCCATGCCTGCGTCTGCCCCATCTGGGCGCACCACTCACATGCTTCGCGGTCCCATGGGGAGCTTTACCGAATGCCACACTGGCTGCGCTCGCTTGGCGCGACCGCACCCAGTTCCGCGCATCCCTCACACGCTTCTTGGCCACATTCGGAGCTCCACCAGGGGCCCCAGTGGTTGCGCTCGCGTGGCACCACCGCGCCCATTTCGGCACATTTTTCACACGCTTCGTGGACCCACAGGAAGCTCCACGAACGGCCCCACTGGCTGCGCTCGCATGGCACCACCGCGCCCGATGTAGTGGCATACCGCATCATACTTTTCGTGGCTTCAGAGGGAGCCCCACCGACGGCCATAGTGGCTGCGCTCGTATGGCACATTCGCACCCATCTGTGCGCATTCCCCACACGTTTCGTGGACCCATCGGGAAGTCCACCGAGGGCCCCGGCGGCTGCACTCGCATGGCACCACCGCACCCATGTCGGCGCACTCGTCACACGCTTCGTGGCCCCATGGGGGCTTTTACAGGAGGCCGCAATGGCAGCGCTCCACCACCGCGCCCATTTCAGCACACTTCACACGTTTCGTGGTCACATGGGGAGCACCACCGAGGGTCCCAGGGGGTGTGTTTGAATTGCACCACTGCGCACATTTCGGTATACCCATCACACTTTCAACCGAATGCCCCAGTCGCAACGCCCGCATGGCACCACCGCTCCCAATTCGGCACACCGTTCACACGTTTCGTGACCTACTCTGGAACTCCACCTAGGGCCCCAGTGACAGCGCCCGAGTGGCACCACCGCGCCCGCTTCGGCACACCCCTCGCGCATTCCCGTGGCTCCACAGGGAGCTCGATCGAAGGCCCCAGTGCAGCGCCCGCGTGGCACCATCCCGCCAATTTCGGCACACCATCACACGTTTCGTGGTCACATGGGGAGCACCACCGAGGGTCCCAGGGGGTGTGTTTGAATTGCACCACTGCGCACATTTCGGTATACCCATCACACTTTCAACCGAATGCCCCAGTCGCAACGCCCGCATGGCACCACCGCTCCCAATTCGGCACACCGTTCACACGTTTCGTGACCTACTCTGGAACTCCACCTAGGGCCCCAGTGACAGCGCCCGAGTGGCACCACCGCGCCCGCTTCGGCACACCCCTCGCGCATTCCCGTGGCTCCACAGGGAGCTCGATCGAAGGCCCCAGTGCAGCGCCCGCGTGGCACCATCCCGCCAATTTCGGCACACCATCACACGTTTCGTGGCCCCACAGGGAACTCCACCGTAAGTGCTCGGTACCCACAACGCGGCATTCACAGTAACGTATATGTTGGCGTCTTTCGCCGATATACCCCCCTCTCTGATATGTTGTTTTTTTCTCGATTTTGTTGCATGCCTCCCTGCTTCCCTCTCTCCCTCTCTCCTCTCTCTCCTCCGCGCTGCTTCGCTCATGCTTTCGACATGTTCCGTATGTTCGTTTTTCCTTCTATCTTCCCCCCCGAAACCATCTTGCTCATATCTGCCCCCGCGCCCCCCACTCGTTCCCTCCCACCTCGCTCGTCTTCTCCCATCCTCAGTTTTTTCTCCTCCTCTTCCTCGTCCTCCTCCTCCTCCTCCTCCTCCTCCTCCTCCTCCTCCTCCCTCTCGATGCTCTGTATAGCCAGGACGGTACCTAGCTCGGCCTCCCTGGGCCTCCGGCGTGGCCAGGACCCGGAGGATTATATGCAGGAGGCGGAGGCGGATGAAAAGGAGGGGAGGCGATTGGTGGAGGCGGAACGGAGGTGCAGCGGCTGGGAGGAGGGGAAGTCTGATGAGGATCAGGAGGAACAGCCAGATCAGGCGAAGGGGGTTAGGCCGAAGAGCGGGCGTGCAAGGAGTACGATTCTGAGAGGAGGAGGAGAAGGAGGAGGGAGGCGACGATCAGGAGGAAAAGGAGGAGGCGGCGGAGGACGTAGGAGGGGGGGAGGTTGAGGGTCTTCTCCTCCCTGAGGCCTCCCCCCGCCTGCTGCTGCCGCTGGATGCGGTTCGACATGCTGGCCGGGGAGGCATCCGGCACACGGGGCCGTCGGGATGCTCACGTCATCAAAGGAGGAGGAGGAGGAGGAGGAGGAGGGGAGGGAGGAGGAGGAGGAGGAGGAGGAGGAGGAGGGAGGAGGAGGAGGAGGAGGGAGGAGGAGGGAGGAGGAGGAGGGAGGAGGAGGAGGAGGAGGAGGAGGAGGAGGAGGAGGAGGAGAGGAGGAGGAGGAGGAGGAGGGAGGAGGGAGGAGGGAGGAGGGAGGAGGAGGAGGGAGGATGAGGAGGGAGAGGGAGGAGGGAGGAGGAGGAGGAGGAGGGAGGAGGGAGGAGGGAGGAGGAGGAGGAGGAGGAGGGAGGGAGGAGGGAGGAGGGAGGAGGGAGGAGGGAGGAGGGGAGGGAGGAGGGGAGGGAGGAGGAGGAGGAGGAGGAGGAGGAGGAGGAGGAGGAGGAGGAGGAGGAGGAGGAGGAGGAGGGAGGAGGAGGAGGAGGAGGAGGAGGAGGAGGAGGAGGAGGAGGAGGAGAGGAGGAGGAGGAGGAGGAGGAGGAGGAGGAGGAGGAGGAGGAGGAGGAGGAGGAGGAGGAGGAGGAGGAGGAGGAGGACCAGGAGACAAAGGACACCACCCCACCTACGGCCCCAGAGTGGGCCGCACAGACACATCCTAATACTACATGTCCTCCTCGGAGGCGCGTCGTCTTTGCTCGATTGTGCGGTGAACATCCTCGCATATGGTAGGCACACTTGTGCGACATTCTCTCAGAGCCCCGACTCATCAGGGGCAACTCGGGTCAGGGCTAGCTCGGGTTCGTTTTTCGGGATTCCGAACCCGAGTTGCCCGGGCCCGAGTTACCCCGGATAATTCGGGCGTCCAGAGCCCCAAATCATCAGGGGTAACTCGGGTCAGGGCTAGCTCGGGTTCGCTTTTCGGGAATCCGAACCCGAGTTACCCCGGGCCCGAGTTACCCCAGATAATTCGGGCGCCCAATTCTCTGTGATGCAAGCATATTTCGGATAGAGCCCACTTTGGTCTCGGAAGGGGGCGTTTCTATCCTTCCGTGGGCCTTTCTGGTGCCATTCCTCGTGCGCCTGGGCGCAACCGCCTTGCTCACGGTTCCTTGTGGCAAGACGCTGCCTGCAGGAGGGGCATGTTTTCGGCTTTGCCAGGCCATGGGCCGAGGAATCGCAAGCAGAGCGGCCAGCAGTGTTACTGGGGCGGACACTGTCCGGTCAGAAACTTTCGGATACTCCACATTTCGTTGTAGAAGGGAGGGGGTCACAACCTTCCCAGAGGAGTAGTTCTGGAGTTTTGGACAACCAGACCGGCCTGGAAAAGGCGGTCTATTGCCCAGATCCCCCCAGAACCTCCAAGACAGCTCCGAGCAGACCCCTCCAAAAAAATCAGACCCCCCGGGGGAGGAGGAGGCGAGATGCTCGCTGCCCTGCTATAGTGTAAGGCGTTTGTTTGCCCGCGAGCCGCCCCCCTGTTACCTGTGTGCGCCAGGCAGCGGGGATGGCTTCGTTTGCCGTCGATTCGCGGATTCGCTATTTTGGGTTCGAGGCAGAGAGGTGTCTGAATGGTCTTACTCGTCTCCTCTCTGGCCTCTCTCTTTCTCTCGCGGCAATGTCGTAGTTGAGGGCGGAGCTGTTGTTAGAATTCGACTCGGGATATCACTGCCCCGGTAATGACGATATTGGACAGCGTGGTGGCCTCCGCCGCCAGCGTCGGCGGCACGCTGATGCTGTGCCTGGCTGGGGCTCTGTGGGCGCGATGGCGCACTGTCGATCCCATCTTCTGGCGACTGACGTCGCGCCTGAACGCAGACGTGCTCACGCCGGCGCTGTGCTTCCACACCATGGTCAGGGAGCTGTCCCCGCGCAGCCTGCGAGAGCTCTGGGTGGTGCCTGTCGCGTCGCTGGCGCACATCGGAGAGGCCACCATCACGCATTCCAGCGTGCCCCCCCCCCCCCCCCGTGATACAGTCAACCCCGCATAGTTCAGGAGGGAAAGAAACACACAGACACAATTAATCGTCAATTTCCCAGAAAATATAGGAAAATATGGGAAGTGGGGGGGAAGACGAAAATCCAAAAAATATGGGAAAATATGGGGAATATTTTTATTTGTGTGTATTTATTTGTGTGTCCTGGGGCCCCTTCAATAGTAGGGCGACGGGATGGGAGAAGGGACGGGGGAGGGACGCAGGGGAGGGAATGGCGAGAGGATGGAGCACGGGAGGAGGCGGAGGAGGAGGAAAAAGAAAAGGGGGAGGAGAAAGAGAGTGAGAGGAGGAGGAGGAGGAGGAGGAGGAGGAGGAGGAGGAGGAGGAGGAGGGGGAGGAGGAGGAGAAAGAGGAGGAGGAGGAGGAGGAGGAGGAGGAGGACAAGGAGGAGGAGAAGGGGGAGGGAACGGCAGGAGGCGCCTGGAGCACGGGACAGAGCCAGAGCCCCGACGTCGTGGCCGGCGGCGCAGCACGGGACCGGCTCGGAGGTCCAGACCCTCTCTTGGAGTGCCACACCGTCGGGGCCCGAAAGAAGGAACCCTTTTCGTTGGGGAGAGCCTTTTCGTTGGCGAGCACCGCTGCCCCCCTCCCCGGGTCCGCCGAGGCCGAGCCCGACGCGCGACGCGCGATCATCCCGAGCGACCCCGAGCCCCACCCGCTTCCGCGCCGCGCTCCGGGCGCGCGGCGAGGTCCGTCTCCGATGCCATCCTGTGGCGCGATTCGGTCCAGCTCGGCCCCCCCCCCTTTCTTCACCACCCACAGTCGGGGCCCTGAAGAAGGAACCCTTTTCGTTGGGGAGGGGCTCCGCGTTCCTCACGTTTTTCACAGCTTGCCTCAGGTTGGCCTTCTGTTTTCGATCGGACATCGGAGTTCAACTTGTGGAAGAAAGGGGCCTCGTTCCTTATTCAGGGTTCCTTCGGTCAACGCCCCGACTGTACGTTCGTCCCGAGCTGTTCTGGTCGACGGCCCAGGGGCCCCAGTGAGGACCTCCAGAGGCTGAAGGGGGCCAAGAGCCTCCCGCCCTGATGTTCGCACAGCGGGGGGAGGTCGTCGGCCACGCGCAGCGGGAAGTATGGGGGGGGCGGCGAGGGCTTCGTGGGAGGATGGATGGATGGACAGCGCCTTGAAAGGTCGAGAGGTGACAGCACCAAAAGCATGTGGGGGGATCGACCCGAGTTAGACCGCCCCTGAGGTCCTTGCCTCTTCTTTAGCTTTAATTCTGGCAGCAAGAGCCGCCATACGCTGCTCGTACGAGGGGGCCGAGGGAGAGTCCGAGAACACCCGCGGGACTGGAGGTAACACACAGCTCGGGCTTATCGTCCGTATCACGAGCAACAACTAAGTGTGCTACAGGCAACGCCTTGTCCAGCACTTCTCGAATCTTCGGGTTAGGGCCAAGCCCCCTCCTAAAACGGCTGAGGACATCCAGTCCCTTACGCGTAGGCTTTCCACAGACCTCAGCGAGCTTCACGGCTCTCCCTTGGGACCTACCCCCGCACTTTAAACACAGAATCTGCTGCTCTCGACAGGGCCCCAGGACAGACTCCGACCGCGGAACCTCAAGAGCCGAGCCCGACACAGCGACGAGCAGATGCCCCAGGGGATTTCGCAGCAGCTTCTGGAGAGCAGGAGGCGGACCCCTGCAACCGAACATGGGCCTGTCGGGTCGATCACACACCGTCCAACAATACCTGCATTGCATCCCAAGTTCGGTTCTCCTCCAGGGATGCCAGGTCTTCTGCTGGCGCTTTCTCCCCTGGGTGGTGAAAGCGGCCCTCTTTCCAACGCACTTCGTTTTTTAAAGAGGGGTAAGATTGCAGCAGCAAGCTGTACGAACGCATCAGCTCGCTTCTGATACAAATCAACACGGTCCAAAAACGTGGGCAGGGGCCGCGGGTGGCCTTCAAGGTTCAAGGGCCTTCTTTGTGTGCTCGTCCACATCACGACTCGCGAAACCAAACCTGCGATCGTCGCCTTCCAACTCCTCGAGAGCAGAAAACTCACGATGGGCCTTTTACATGGAAGGTCGACAGAAACTCCGTGCCTGCTAGCTCATGGGCAAACCGCCTCGCACCAGCATGTTTATTGGAGTCAGCAAACTGCTTCCAAAGGGGCCTTGGGTCTGGCAAGTCACGGCTTTACAATCCAGGGCCAGGGACGTGGGACGATCTGCTACCTGCCCGACTAAAGCCACCCCCGCATGTTCCGCCATAGCAGGGGTTTGGGGGAGACCCCCAGGCACAATACCCCTGAGGATGGCCAAGAGATACTCGCTGCCTGGCTCCATGAGCGCAATCGCCCACGAAGCTCGGTGGAGACAGCGAAGGGCCTGCTTCGTGCAGCTCCCGTCCGACGCCATCTCCAGCTGCACAACGTCTCCTGCGAGCGCCGCAAGATCCTCAGGCTGCATATTCAAATTGGCTCCTGTACCGTCGAAACTGTCACAATGGGAATGCGAGGCAGGAGGGGGCACATCATCACCAGAGAACGTGAAAAGCCCACGAGTGAACACAGGATCATCACTGTGTGCCCCGTCCTCTAAAATTTCCGACGGGATCCCAAGCTCTCGTCGGGCCTCCACAACTTCTGTTCGCACACAAGTGTACAGCCTATGGTGCAACGTGTCACGCTGGCCGCACACACATGCCATCAGTTAAGTAACCAGCATCACACGCACGAGCTTCGGTCCAAATCGCATCCGCGGCGCAGGACAAAAAGGAGGAGCTGTTGCTGCCGAGTGTGATGCTTACAGCTCGTACACATGAGATTGCGCACAGGGTCGAACGTAGCGCGCGTGCCCTGCACATGTCCAAGCCTACGTGCAAAACGAAACCCAGCCTCTCCTTGCAAACCCGCTCTCAAAAGGTCGAGAAGGAGGCGAGGCGGGGTCTTGCTTAAATCAACGTTGCGCCCCCAATGGTCGATCCACTGCGTTCCTGACACCACTTTCCAGCCAGCACGACGAGCCGATAACGTGGCACGGGTCAAGGGGCCACGGCTGGATTCCCAATCGCCAGCATCGTTGGCCTTGGCCTGCTCCCAAAGTTGAAGCAGCTCTTGGAAGGGAATCAGGGAACGAGTGGGATTGACTTGGGGGTTCCAAAGCATTCGACACCATTGAAGGGCAGGGCCAACTGCTGCTCGAGTGTCCCACTCTCCATACATCACAAGCTTCGCAGTTGCACTTGTCCCTCCGTGAGACGGGGGCAACCTTCGAGCTTGCGTCCTTCGCACAGTGTTAAGCTCAGCTTCAGAGAACCCTGAGACCTCGGACCCGTACGACGACGCAGGAGCAACACCCGTGCGAAGGACCTGAGACAAACCTTTCTTGGCCTCCTTGTTAGGGGCTCGAGGCTTAAACCTGCCAGTCTTTTTAACTCTAAGCTTCATTCCCCAGAGGCGGGGCCGCTGTTTTACACGCGCACGAGCAGGCGAACGCTTTGCACCAGCACTGTCATCAACTCCGAGATAAGTGACTGAGTGCTTCACATCCTTCGGCTCAAGCCCAAGGCCTCGCACGGCATCCCGTGCAAGTGAAACCTCGCTGGCGACAACGGCAACCTTATCATTGATCACCGCATTGGTCTGCTTACTCGCGTGATAAAAAAGCACGGCCTGCTGAGATGGCAAGTTGCAGTGCACTCTCTGTCTGCGAGCTGGATATCTGTATGCCCGAGTCGTCTACACCAGACGTGAAACGGACACGAGGAGGCTGACTGGCAACAAACTCATCAAACGCTTTGACTGCATGAACCTTGATGCAGATATCATTGAAGCAGCCCCCAGCGGGTAAAGCGAACCCAGCGTGGGCGACCCCGTCAGAGCGATGCTGCCTGAGGCGCAGCACCCGAGGAGCCCTCCACGCATTGAATACGAGTTTCAAAAATGCCGTGGGTACCTTGAATTCGAAAAACTTGCCCCGAAGCTCGATAAGGGGAATCGTCTCATAGTACTTACTACAATCTGCAATTAGGAGTACACTGAAGCGTTTGGAGGCCACATCGGCCTCCGCTCTCGCTGCTTGTGCCCACGCGCAGTCCACATAACTCCTCCCCCGACTCGCCCCCAAGTACCCACGCTCCACATCCTCCAAGAGAGCACCTGGCATGGGCCTCCTCAGCCTCTGCCAGATGCGGTACGTACCGCTATAGAGCACAATTAGCCTGTGTCCTGCCGATGGTTTCGGCAACATTGACATTCGCACCCACAACAGCTGTTTGGGTAAGAGGCCGATCGCCTCACAGCACTGCCACAAACCTGCTAACATATCTAAGCCATCATCATCGAGTAGCAGGAAATGCCGTGGATGAAACTGATCCAAGGACCTGGCCGTCGTCTCGGAAAAGCTCTGAATAACTTTGCGCACTTCCCCAGGATCGGCCCGAGGAAAGCTGGGCCGATCTGGGATCCAGGCAACAGGTGGGGTGGCGGTCGCCCGCCAGAGCTTGCGATAAATCTGCAGCTCGTGCTGCGCTACACTGTGGGGGCCAGCGCTGGGGCCTGTAGGATCAGGGGCAACCGTAGGGGGGACAACGCTCCGAACCTTCGTGACCTTGTGAAGGCCCCGCGCACCTCCCATGCTGGCAGTCTTGCACCAATCGCTCCAGCTGGTTTGGATTTCTTTTGATGCGCATTGTACAGCTACTGACGCGCCCTCAGGGATATCTCCGAGAAATTGCCCAACATCTTCTCGAACAAACCCCTGGCACAGCATGGTTCGCGCCTGCCTTACCGAGTTATCTAACCGAGCGCTCAGACCGAGCCCTGGGTAGTCGGAATCCCGAAAAACAGTTAACTCGGCTAGCATAGCATTCTGATTGGCTTCATTCATATCATCTAACTCCGCTGGCTGACCAAGGTGCTGGACTCCGTTACGAAGCCACTGCCACCCGTCCGCTACTAAACACTTCTCGTTATCATCAGGCACAGGGTACCCAACATTGACCCAGCGCGATGCAAATTGGCGCCCAAACGTACCGAAACTATCTTGCGCGCCCCCAGTGCAAGAACTGATGTGCCTTGCAGTGATATGGGCAAACTTGCCCCAACTCGTACTTAACAGGTGATGCACCACCCCTGGATCGGCCTTCTCGCCCCCCGCCATTTCCACGCAGCGCTCAACCAACCCCCTCACAGGACCGCAGTCGGGCGGCTTGGGGCGAGGGCCGACCAGGGGGGGGGGATCGAAAGAGAAGGCGCAACGGTGTACACTAGATGCTGTACCCTGAAGCCCTGACTTGCAATGGCTAGTTGCACGAGTCTATGGGGTCTGATCGACCAACTCGCGTCAAACATAACATGTTTATATGCGCGCATGCACGGGTCGTTTAAACAAAAACAATCGATGATCGAACTACCTGTCCCACCTCGACACGTGCACAACTTAGTGGATACTAGCGTGAGACCCGTGAAGCTACAGAAACCTGAATCCTCAACTTCCTCTGGAGACCTGTTCCAGTCGCCGCCCGCTATACATGGGCCTTCAACACTCTCCACAACTGCACCTGCTGCTGCCAATAGCTTTGCATTGTTGCCCTGAGGGCCTATGCTTGGATACATGTACATATTGACTAAGTGGAGAGTGGGCCATCCTGGGATGTCGAGCTGCACATGCTGTACGCGGTGCTCAAATACTTGATGCATGCCAAGTTGGGGCGCACGCTTTCCGCACTCACTGCGCGCAAAAACAGCTACTCCAGCACTGGGCACATTATCTGCTGACGGGCAGGAGGGCAACGCCATCATGCTCCAACCTCGCACTTGCGCCCAACTCTGAATGGCTTCAACCTGGTCAGCCACGTGGCCGAACTCTTGCGCAATCACTACTAAAGCTTGAGTCGCCTTGAGACGTTTCTTGAGTGTGCCCTTGCCTCCGCTACAATTAACGCTCTCAATCACATGCTCACCGCTGTCTTTGCCCGTCACAGGAGGTGCTGGTGGAAACGAATGTGGCCTGGCACCTGTGACGCGTGGCAGCAGACAACCGTTATCATCATACGTCTTGCACAGAGGAGCGCCAGCTCCAGCACTTGGGCGCGCGCGCGCCGCATCAGCGCCCTCAGAAGTCGGACTAACAGGGGAGGCGCCACCTGCGCTGTCACCCTTGCCGCCAGGCGGAAGGACCGCACCTTCAGCTGCCACGCCTCGTTCTGGCCGCTCGCGATCCCCAGCAGCACCCTCAGGGGTCGGGCTTGCAGGGGAGGTGCCGCCTGCACGCCCACCCTTGCCGCCAAGGTGTAGAGCCGCACCTTCAGCTGCCACGTCTTTGGTCCTCGAGGTTTGAAGGGGACGTGAGTGGCCTCCTATCCCCTCCAATCTGGTCCGTCCATCATGTGCAGCGAGATGCTCGTCACCCATGCCTCGCTCTCTTCGCAGCGTAGAGCTCCTCCAGCTTGGCAGTGAAGTCCTCGGAACTCGAGCAGCCGGACCAGAGGCTAAGCCGCTCCTCACTGGACAGCTCGCTGAGCTCATTGTTACGTTTGGCTCGCCCTGCCTCTGCGCCACGTGCTCCTGCTGCTGCAGCACCATTGTCAGAGGGTGCGCCACCGCCTGTGCCAGCCCTGGCATCATCATCACCAGCTGAATCACCCATGCAGTCATCAGGGGCAGTTTCCTTCGGCATGGCGCGGACGTGAGCCTGCAACTTTTCCCAGAGCGGACTTGCCAGGAAGTCCTCAGCCTCAGGGTTCTCCCTCTTGAAGTTGTCGATCTGGTGCAGCAGCACTGAGCCAGGGACGGGCTTGCGTTCTCCATCGGCATTCTCCTCTTTCGGCGACACCAGTGCAGCCGGCCTGTCAAACTCCGCCTGCAAGACAGCCAGCTGCACCTTTTTCGCCTCCAACGTCTGCTCGCGCTCCTCGATCGAAACGCGTAGCTTCTCATACTGATCCTTCTTGTCGGCCAAATCCTTCGACATCGTTGCGATCGCAGCCTTCGCGTTGCTGAGATCCTGTGCAGCACGACGGCGTGCTGTCTGAGGCGGCCGCAACTGCTTCTGCTGTGTGCGCAGTGTCGAGAGCTTGGTCTCCATGCTGCACCGTATGTCCTTGAACTCCTCATGCGCTCCCATCGCCTTGATAGAGGCCTCCAGCTCTTGGATTTGCACGGCAACTTTGGCTCGCCGCCCTTCATCAGTGTCTGGTTCAGCCTCAGCGGTTTTGCTCGCCCGATCCTGTGCCTCACGCTGCCACGGAGGAGTCGGGGGGGCTCCGAAGTCGACGTGGTACTCTTGGTGAGCGATGCCATGAGGGAGTCCAACTTCTTCTCCATCGCACTGAGCTTATCTCCCTTGTCACCGCCTTTATCTTTTGGTTGAACACGTCCTTTTCCATTGCCTTTGCCTCCGCTCCGCTCCAGCTGCTGCATGGCAACCTTGTGGGCAGTGAAAGCTCGCGCTCGAATATTTGCAGGTGCCGATCGCCCGCACTCACACTTGATCCTGGACGCCCAATTCTGCAGGCGGGTGCAAGAGCCACGCGCCCATTCTGGCTTCCTCGGGCCAAGCAAGACATCCCAGTCCTTGTCATCGAGGGCTGGGGCCATCCGCTGGCCTCTCTTCACACACGTATGCCAAAACGGCTTGCTCGCTCCAGCAGGAGCTCACTGAAAGCTGGCCGAGGCAGCCTGGCCTCTGGAAGGGGCTGCCCTTCCACCTCGGCCTCGAGCCTCGGGAGTCGGGACGGGAGGTAAGCTCCGTCTTGAGCCAAAATGGCTACGGGTTTCGTGGGAGGAGGTGGGGCCGCTTCTCAGAGGGCGCGGGCCTTGCCTGTAGGGGTCACTGGCGCCTTCCAGGAAGCAGCCTCCTTCTATTCGAAGCATTCCCCCCTCCCCCCACCCCGTTGTGGCGCGCGCCGCCACGTTTTGGGAAGCGGGAGCGGGAGGAGTAATTGGAGGCGAGACGGAGGGTCAGGAGGGGGACCACGCCGGCATGCGGCATGGAGCCTCCCGCGCGTCCTGGTCGGCCTGGCGCTGGGAGGTTTCCTCGGGAGGCTGGCGCTTCCCAGGGAGCAGCGCTCGGAGTTCACGCTGCTCGCCATGCTGGCCACGAGCATGGGCAACAGCTTCGCCCTTCCGCCACGGGGGCCGCGCTGCTCTGAGTTAGCCCTGTGGCAAGGTTAGTTATCGGGGGCCGATGTGTGGCCATCGCCACCGCCCGCGTACACTTTGCCCCCGTCAGCTTGTTCGTCGGGCTGGTGTACGGAAGTCGTGCCCCCAGGGGGTACCAATTGTACGCCAATGTTGTACACCACCGCCCCTCTACAGTCTTGTGCCAGACCAGTTTGTTTGTGGTCTGCGGGGGTGGTGTACGAGAGTCGCGTTCCCAGGTGAGGATGCAACTCCTCGGAGGGTAAATTCAGCGTCGCCGCTGCTACATATACCCGTGGTCGGATGCTGACCTGATCCGGCAGGATCGCAGAATCCCGCTGGGCAAGCTTGGCCCCGCACTATCCGGCTTAATCCTGGGCCGACTCCGGTCCGATCCCCGGCGAAATGCCCCGCTCATTGGGCCGGAGAGCTTGGAAGCGTTCGGACGAAAGCCTCCAGCGAGTTACCCGTTGACCTGAGGCCTCTCCCCCCGAGGGACCGAGCCTTCGCCCTCCTCCACCTCCTCCTCCTCCTCCTCCTCCTCCTCCTCCTCCTCCTCCTCCTCCTCCTCCTCCTCCTCCTCCTCCTCCTCCTCCTCCTCCTCCTCCTCCTCCTCCTCCTCCTCCTCCTCCTCCCCCCCCTCCTCCTCCTCCTCCTCCTCCTCCTCCTCCTCAGGAGCTCCAGGGAGGGACCTGCCGCGACCTGCGTGCCTGCGCCAGAGAGGCGGGCCCCGGCCGAGCCGGGCCGGGCGATGCCGAAGAGCGCTGGCGCCAGCGCCAGGCGATGCCGAGCTCTGCACCTCACAGGGGGCCCTGTTCGGCCGTCTGGCGGCTCGCATCCTCCGAGGCGGATGGATCTTCGGGGGCCTCGGCCGGCGGCGGGCTGCGGACAGATTCAGGATCTCGGGGGCCAGAACAGATCCTTATCCGCCGCTTGCTGGGGTCCCCGGACGTCGGTTCAACAGGCGCGTTGTGTGTGGACACATCCCCGCCTCGCGCTTGCTCCCCCCCCCTTCCCCCCCTCTCACACGCAGGGGCGCAACGGTAATCGCGTCGCGGCCTCGGCCAGAGGGCTGTCTTTCCGTAGGTAGCCAGGGTTTGGCAGGATGGGAGGAGGAGGAGGAGGAGGAGGAGGAGGAGGAGGAGGAGGAGGAGGAGGAGGAGGAGGAGGAGGGGGAGGAGGAGCAGAGGAGGGGGAGGAGGAGGGGGAGAGGAGGAGGGAGGAGGAGGAGGAGGAGAAAGGAGGAGGAGAGTAGGAGGAGGAGGAGAGGAGGAGGAGGAGGAGGAGGAGGAGGAAGAGGAGGAGGGGCGGCGAGTGGTGCCAGGGCTTGGCCCGGTCTTGAGGTGCAGCCCGAGCCTCTGCGGGAAGGCCCAGCGGCAAGAGGGCGCGGGAGGCCCGGGGGGCACCGCGGTCCTCGAGAGCGAAAGAGCCCTTAACCATCCGCCTCCTCCTCCTCCTGCTCCTCCTGCTCCTGCTCCTCCCCGTCCTCCTCCTCCTCCTTCTCCTCCTCCTCCTCCTCCTTCTCTCCTCCTCCTCCCTCCTCCTCCTCCTCCTCCCCCTCCTCCCCCCCCGCCCCCTCCCCTTTCTCCTCCTCCCTCTCCTCCTCCTCCTCCTCCTCCCCCTCCCCTCCTCCTCCTCCTCCTCCTCCTCCTTCTCCCCCTCCTCCTCCTTCTCCTCCTCCTCCTTCTCCTCCTTCTCCCCCCTCCTCCCCTCCTCGTTCTCCTTCTCCTCCTCCTCCTCCTCCTCCTCCTCCTCCTCCTCCTCCTCCTCCTCCTCCTCCCTCTCATCCTCAATCCCAGCCTTGGTGACACAAGGAAGGCGTGGCCCTGCTTCGGTCCCCGTCTTCGCATCAGAGTCTAGACCTCCCTCAAGGGTTCCAGAGCAGATGGGGTCGGAGGATCGCGGCACGTCGCCGATGCATCGCCGATGCATCGCCGAGGTCGACGATGCATCGCTGGTGCATCGCAGGTTCAGCGTCAATGCATCGCCGATACATCGCCGATGAGTCGGCGATGCGGCGCGATCCTCCGACGCCATTTACTCGGACCCCATCTGGGAGGCCTTCCATTCGGGATCATGAGTGTGGGCGGTTTGGTTCGGCATACCTGCAGGAAGAGACCCCCATCTCTAGTGACTCCGGCCCTCCTAAGTTGGGTTCCCTTGCAAAGGTAAGGGGTCCTTGTATTTAGGGGAACGAAGAATGACATACACATACGAACTCGGAGGTCCGGGCGGACTGCTCGGAGCGGCGTTGGACCCCCCCCCCCTTGGCGCGCGGAGCGCGCCAGGGGCGGCGCTGGAGGCGCCGCCAGGGGGCCCCAGCTCCGATCCGAGAGATCCGCGCGGACCTCCGAGAGTTTATGTTTATGTCATTCTCTGTTCCCCTACACCCTAGGCGATGCTTAAGAAAACCTAAGTTTTCGGCGAGAGTCTCGATTATTCTTAACGTTTCAATGTAAATCCTAAGATTTTGATAGAAAACTTGGGTTTTTACGCAAGTTCTGAGACTATGAATTTCTTAACCCATGATTTCTAAAGCATTTCGCAGGGTGTACCTTCCTGCCGATCGCCCCCGGGGCCAGGCTCGCCGCCCGGCGGCCTCGGGCAGGGCGCGTGGCGCCGGAGCGCGAAGCGGACCGCGGACGCCCCGCTTCGCCGCGGCTCGAGGCGCGGGTGCCGGGTGGCCTCGGGCTCGCCTCGGACCGAGCTGTGGGCTCGTCTCTCCCGGCGCCCACATCGCAGGGCGGATTCCGTGCGGAGAACGCTCAGGAGGGGAAAAAACACACAGACACAATTAATCGGCGATTCCCAGAAAATATGGGAAACTATGGAAAGTGGGGGGGAAGACAGAAACCCAGAAAATATGGGAAAATATGGGGGATATTTTTATTTGTGTGTATTTATTTGTGTGTTCCAGTTCCCCTCTCGGGTGGGCCCGGAGTGTCCTGGAGGATTTCTTTCCAGACTTCGGGGTGAGTTCCGCGCGGAGTTGTTTTGGCCAGGAACGAAGACCGAAAAGAATCCACGCGACATTCACGTCGTTTTTCGCTCGCCGTTTCGGGCACACATCCGCGCAGGAAACCGCTGCAGCACGTCTGCAAGGCCGCTGCAATGACGCTTTCGCCATTTTGGGGCCTCCTGGGATGCCGTCGTCGCCACCACCGCCGGATTCGCCCCGAACTCCTGGTCGTTGCGCACCCCTGGAGAGGTCTGGGAAGTAGCGGCATGGGTACCTTGCTTGGTTTCCCCAGAGTTGTGGGACCACCGTGGCCCTGCCAGTGCCCTTGATGGTGGTGATGTGCAGGACGGTGCCCTGGCTCAATGACCATCAGGAAGAGTGCACAAGCCGGGCTCTCGGAATCCTGATCATGTTTCAAGTAGGAGATCGACTACAAAATCAATTTCCCCCAAGAAGTGATTTACCCGTCGAGTCTTCGAAAATAGCGAAAAAGCTCTCACATGCGGTAAAGTGTCAAGTCGGCCTTCGTTGGTGCTAGAGCTGAGTCGGATGGAGTGTGGCGCTTTGAACATTCTACGCATGATTCGCAGTTCCGACGAACAGATTTATTTGGGGGTAAATCGGTTATGTGGTCGATCCCCTGCTCGAGTTTTAGGGGACCAGAATGCAGAACATGCACAGCGCTCTGGATGCCCGCGCGGATCTCTCGGTTCGGCGCCGGGCGTTCTTCCCGCACCCCTGGCAGCGCCTCCAGTAACGCCACAGGGCGCGGCCCGCGCGCCAGGGAAAGGGTCTTGGCATCGCTCGGACGTGTGTATGTTTCTTGCGGCGAGGACCATCGAGGAGCATCTTGGATCATCTTACGAGAAACAAAAAAAACACGGAGCCGAAACATGCACGGGAATGCATGTCCGAGCGATGGTGAGGGTTGTCAAGGTGTCCAGCGCCGACCCAGGAGCCCCGCCCGGATTCTCGGGAGTTGATTCGTCAAGCTCGCGTTGTGTCGACCGGTGGCGACCCCGCCGCCGGCGTTCAGCATGGAGCGCCGCTGGTGACCCAGAGTCGGCCGATGTTGAACGATCGGACGTTTGGGAAACGGCCGATACTTCAAGGTTGCAGGGTCCCCGCAGTGTCAGGAGCCATCGCCAGGGTCGACACGACACGGACCTGTCGGGTGTATTAGGGGAACAACAAGTAGCATAAACATAGAGGTCCGCGCGGATTTCTCGGATCGGCGCTGGGCCCCCCCGGCGGCGCCTCCGGCGCCGCCCGCCCCTGGCGTGCTCCGCGCGCCAGGGGAGGGGGGTCCAGCGCCGATACGAGAATTCCGCGCGGACCTCCGAGTTTTCATGTTCATGTCACTTTTCGTTCCCCTATGTATGTTTCTGTAGTCCCTCGGTCCCCTGCACATCTGGGCCATAGTGGTGCTCCTCGTCCTCTGGTCGCTGGGCTACCTGATCGTCGACCGCGCCGTCGCGCGGCGCTCGGAGCTGGACCGCTGCTCGGCGGGCACTGCGTCTGATGGGCCTGTTTTCCACCACCACCACCACCAGAAGTTGGAGGGGGGGAGGAGGAGGAGGAGGAGGAGGAGGAGGAGGAGGAGGAGGAGGAGGAGGAGGAGGAGGAGGAGGAGGAGGAGGAGGAAAAGGAGGAAAAGGAGGAAAAGGCGGAGGAGGAGGAAAAGGAGGAGGAGGAGGAGGAGGAGGAGGAAGAGGACCCTCTTCCCCTCCAACTTGTGGTGCTGGTGGTGGAAAGCAGGCCCATCAGCTTCGGGCCACGCGGATCGGGAGGATCCCCGCGCGGGGTGTCGGGCCGGCGAGGAGGCAGCGGAGGCGCAGGAGGCAGCCGAGGGCAAGGCCGCAGAGGGCGGCGCGGGGGCACCGGAGGGCAGCAGCGCCGGGCCCGGGGGCGCACGGGCGGGGGCCGGCCAGCACTGCCGCCAGCAGGGGAACGAAGAACGATCGGGACGACCGACATGGGTGCGGAAAGAATGGGTACAAAGACCGGCAGCAGTTCTTGTCCATTTTTAACAGGACTCGCTGTCCGCGCAGCCGCGGCCTGTGTGCATTCGAGACAGGAGGCCGCCTGCCCGACAGCGGCCGCTGTTGGTTTGGGACAACCTTTGCTGTTGGGCATTGTGCCCATTGTTTCCGTGCCCATTTCGGGCGTCCAAAACATGATCGGGGTGGACAGACCTCCTGCCCTGACGCGTCGATTAAGGAATTGGCCGTTTTCGGTTCGCGAGAGGGCGTCGCGGCCGTCATTCTTGCGGGTCCAGGTCCGTCGGTTTCGGTCCCAGGCCGTTCTCTTTAAGGGGAGGTTTGCTAAAGGGAGGTTTGTCCACCGCCGACATGAGCATACAAACTCGGAGGTCCGCGCGGATTTGTCGGATCGCCGCCTGGGCTCCCTTCCGAGAAGTCCGAGAAACGTCCGCGCGGACCTCCGAGTTTTTATTCATATTCACGTCGTTCTTCGTCCCCCTAGCCAGAGCACCTTCGCGCTGCGCCAGATGCTCAACCCAGTCGTCGTCTGCTCGCTCGGCGGGCTCGGCGTCGCGATGGTGGAGCCCCTGCGGGT